TCCCCTTGATTCTCACCCATAGGCACTCAAATGATGAGTTGATGAGATGTCATCTATCTGGACTTTTGCAAGGCCTTTGACACGGTCCCCCACAACATCCTTCTCTCTGAGTTGGAGAGGTATGGATTTGATGGGTGGACTGTTCAGTGGATAAGAAATTGGTTGGACGGTTGCTTCCAGAGAGGAGTGGTCAACAGCTCGATGTCCAGATGGAAGATGGCGACAAGTGGGGTCCCTCACCCAGCTGCCTATGGAATATTTTATCTATCTTTTCATCCTGGTTAGGTGGTCTATAACAAACTCCCACCATGATATCTGACTTGTTGGCCTTCCCCTTGATTCTCACCCATAGGCACTCAAATGATGAGTTGATGAGATGTCATCTATCTGGACTTTTGCAAGGCCTTTGACACGGTCCCCCACAACATCCTTCTCTCTGAGTTGGAGAGGTATGGATTTGATGGGTGGACTGTTCAGTGGATAAGAAATTGGTTGGACGGTTGCTTCCAGAGAGTAGTGGTCAACAGCTCGATGTCCAGATGGAAGATGGCGACAAGTGGTGTCCCTCAAGGGTCTGTACTGGGACCAGTGCTGTTTAATATCTTCATTAATGACATTGACAGTGGGATTGAGTGCACCCTCGGCAAGTTCACTGGCCAATACCAAGCTGGGTGGTGAAGTTAATGTGCCAGAGGGATGGGATGCCATCCAGAGGGACCTGAACAAGCTGGAAAAGTGGGCCCAGGTGAACTTCATGAGATTGAACAAGGTCAAGTGCTGGGTCCTGCACCTGTGTAGAGGCAATCCTTGTTATCAATGCAAGCTAGGAGATGATGTACGAAAAGGACTTGGGAGCACTAGTAGATGAGAAGCTGGACATGAGCCAGCAATGTGCACTTGCAGCCCAGAAGGCCAACAGCATCCTGGGCTGTATCGAAAGAAGTGTGGCCAGCAGATCGAGGGAGGTGATTCTGCCCCTCTGCTCTGCTCAGGTGAGACCTCACCTGGAGTACTGCATCCAGCTTTGGATTCTCCAGCACATAAAGGACATCGAACTGCTGGAGCAGGTCCAGAGGAGGGCCACAAAGATGATCAAAGGGCTGGAGCACCTCTCCTACAAAGACAGGCTGAGAGAGTTGGGACTGTTCAGCCTGGAGAAGAGAAGGCTCTGGGGGGACCTTACAGTGACCTTCCAATAGCTGAAAGGTGTCTTTAAGAAATCTAGGGAAGAGCTGTTCACTAGGGCATGTAGTGATAGGGTGGGGGGTAATGGTTTTAAACTAGAAAAGGGTAGATTTAGTCTGGATATTAAGAAAACGTTTTTCAGTATGAAAGTGGTAGATCACTGGCACAGGTTGCCCAAAGAGGTGGTGGAGGCCCCATCCCTGGAGATACTCAAGGTCAGGCTTGATGGAGCTCTGAGCAACCTGATCTGGTAACATTGTCCTTACTTACTGCAGGGAAGTTGGACTGGATGACCTTTAAAGGTCCCTTCCAACCCAGTACATTCTATGATTCTATGAAATTGTGCTTCTGACTTGTTTTTAGCTTAGTTGCCTCAAAATACTGAGATCCTAAACCTGCAGGTTTTAACACCAGGAGTAAACACTAGACTTTGTGACAAGAAGTCTTTGACAGGACATGATGCTTTGGATAAGCTCTTACTTTTTTAGTTATTAAAATGCATAATTGAGCTTCAGCTTTATTGTATTCTTGGAATTTTAAGTGGTCTCTTGATTATTTTGGGGTGGAGGAAAAATGTTGAATACTTTGTTAGGAGTTTCAGTGCTTCATAGGGAATAAATACTGAGTAATTCTTAATTGATCTTCAAGTAGATAATTGATAGTGAAAACAATCACTGCAGAATTGTACTCCAATACTGTTTAAGAACAACCTGGTTGATGTTCGTTTTAGTACAAAACAGCAGTCTCTTAATTTTCCGGATCTCCTTTTCTTTCTTCCCTCCACCTTATTCAGTTGATGACAGCATTTTTCCCCAGTGCAGCAGGTGGCTTTCCCAGCCATGTGCAGGCTGCCCACAGCTCTGCCAGCATCCCCGCTGCTGCTGGTCCTGCAGGGGGGACCAGGTCCTTCCCTCCCCGCTGCTGCTGGTCCTGCAGGGGGGACCAGGTCCTTCCCTCCCTGCTGCTGCTGGTCCTGCAGGGGCCACATCCTTCCTCTTCTCAGCATTGCTGTCCTGGAGACTTCGCTGCCTTGTTCTGCTTCAGCAGTCGTGCAGTAACCCCCCGCTCCCTAAGACCTTCCCAAATTCTCTCTCTCTCCAGGATTTCTCAAGCTTGGATAGTTATGATGTCTGTTGTGAAGAAGTGTATCTGTTCCACCTAGTAATAGTTGCTAAGCAGGACATTTCTTCTCGCCCCTTGTCAGCACAGACTGCTTCAGTGCAGACCATGTAACTTAAGGAGATTTTAATTTTTTAGTATCTCGAGCTCTTTAATCCTCTTCTTTAAGTGCTTTTTCTGAGGCCACATCCGTTTTGTGCCATGTTGCACTGATACAACTATTGCCCTTCTTTCATAATTGGGTGTTGTAAGGATAACAGGAGAATCTCTGCCATATACATCTTAAAGTGAACCAGAATAGATCTGTTTTACATAACTGTGTCTTGGAAGTTTACAGACTGCTCACATTGGTGGGAAGGGAAGAAGTTGGCTTGGGCTCTGGCATTAATTCCCAGGGCCCTTGGGAAGAGAAATTAGAGCAAGATTTTTTGTTTGGTTTGGTTGAAACAAAAGAGGCTTTATTTGTATAACTGTTTCAAAGTTACAAGCTGCTATTTGGCCACGCCATTTGTTTGACCCTCGTGTACAAGTTTGTTTTATTTCCAGGCTGCTTTTATAGCACAGATTTTCTTTCCCAGTTGAAGCATTTTTCAGTCATTTGGCTGCTACTGAAACCGAAGGGTGAATTGGCCACCTGTTCCTGTAGCCATTCCTCTGTACTTTCTCAAGATAGAGAAGTCTTTTGCGTCTCGCAGATGTTGTTCCTTGAGGCAGAGCGTGAGTGCTGATGCAGACAGGAGGCTGTCCCTCTCTTACGCATCTCATCTCCTGTGTTATCCTTACCCTGCTCCCACTGAAGGAGCAGCTGAGCCTGGGAATGGGGGGACCTTGAGGGCTGTTTTCTGCGGGGCTGTCCCTGCTTGTTGCTTGGCTTCAGGTTAGAAGGTTTGGGTTCCCTCTTCTGTCAGTAGAGAGATGCTTGGGATCTCAAACACACTTTCAAAAAAACCCACACTCTAATTTGAAACCATTTTGAGCTACAGCTGGTAGATAAAGCCTTGTCTGTCTTTCTGAAGCATTTGTGGTGTTTAAACTGCAGGTTATTTTAAGTTGTTTCTGTGATTGGTCTAATAGTTCATGTAATCATCAAATAAAATGTCTGTTTCTGTAGAAACATTTCCTGTATTTCTGAATCTCGCCTTTGAAGGTGAAAGGGGAATACAAGGTAGGGCAGTCAAGACACAGAAGGTGAGGTGCACGCTGAAATAGGGTGGTTGTTCGCAGATTGCTTCTTAAAGAAAGAAACTTTTCCTATATTTCTGTAGATTCTCAGGATCCCTCTGGTGTTGCATCTTCTATTTCCCTGTCAATAGGGCTGTCATACTTCATTACAAGAGGCAGACAGCGTTTCTGTGCAATACTAACAGTACTTTCATAGGTTTAAAGGGGAGTCTGCTATTTAAGAACCCAAAGTAAAGAAACCCATTTAATTTTTATGGAAACTGTGCGGTTCTCCTGACTTTGGAAAGTTGCTTGTGTTGTGTTGTTTAAAGTAGGAGCCCTAAGCTTTTGCATCTCGTGTAAACACAGAAGCCATCATCACAAGTGTGCCTAAGCAAGATTACGATTCATATGATATGAATTATTACACTAAATTGTTAATATTCAGACTGGTTTCAGCAGCAGCAGAAATGAAGTGGGGGGGGAAGAACAAGCACAGTCTGAGTGTGCCTTGCTATGTTTGCTTCAGTGAGATTTCTCAGGATGTGTTTATTTCCCATTTTTTTCCCAAGAATGCATAATTTGTCAGCTTCGGAAGTGTTATTTTGAGGAATGTTGTGCAGTTCTGTCAGTTCATCTCGTTGAGCTGACACAGGGCTGTGGTGAGAAGGGAGACTGGGCAGGAAGGAAGGTCCTTGTTCCTGAATGTCATCACTGCACAGCGCTCGCATCCCCAAGCAGCACCGGACAAAAGCTGAGTCAGAGCCCAGCAGCAGCCTGCGCCAGAGCAAGGCATGGCCCAGCTCGGCGTTTTGGACTGCGTGATCAACCACAACTGGGGATTCATTTGTAACCTGTATTGCGCGTGGAGCGGTCAGGTTTGTTATTTTCTTATATTTAGATATTTTAATATGATTGCGTAACTTAGTATAAGGAAAAAGAAAGGCTCTGGTTTATCTCTTCTCCCCACCCCCAGTCTTACTGAGGATGTAGCAGAGGAAATTTTGCCATTTATTAAGGAGTTTTCTAAAGTAACTAAGCACATATAAAGCATGCTTTGACTATATAATTGCCTTTGTTAACACTTCGAGTACTTTAGATTGTTCTCTTAGAGTCTTAACCTTTAAGGGGTTTTACTTCATGAAGTGCACAAAAAGATAAATATCACATACAGGCAGAGGGAGATCTGCCAAGATAAACTGCACTGTTAATAAAAATAAATAACAAATAATAAACATAAAGCTGATTTGTTTTCCTGCTTTAAAAGCATATGATAAACTTCCACTCTATTTTTTTTTTGTTACATATGTTTTCTTAAACATGCAGGACAAAGTAAATTTCCACAGGAAATTCAGTCCATTCAGTTCTTAAAATGGACAGATTTAAGTCTTATTGACTGCCTGACTGCAGAACTGGAGGGGGAGGGAAGGTAACCAACCAAACCTGCCTGCATTTTGAATGGGAATGTTTTAAAATAGAATCCACTTACTAAAGGATTCAAAATAATGCTCTGCAGTTACAATGCTACTTTCAAGGTGCTCTAGATATTACCTGCATTTCTTGTGAAACATTCAGCCAGTGGCTGAAGATAATTTATTTTGTGCTTCTGCAGTGTAAGGGGAAGGTAAGCGCTTCTTACAGAGTTGCTGTTTCAGCACAGTAACTAGAGGCAGGTGGTTCAAAAATATTCCCACCATACATAGAAGTCCTTTGAAACAATATGCCATCAAAATACAAACAATTGCTGTGTGTCATGTCTGTACTGGCATTTCTTAATCAGGAAAGTACGTTGCTGTGTGTTGGTTTTTTGCTTGTTTGGTTTTATGTGTGGGTTTTTTGTTTTTGAAAAATATGCAAAAGCTGATTCACAATGTCTGGGTTTTTTTGAGTCATCTCCTTATTGTTGTAGGCTCAAGTCTCTTATGTTGAACTTGAAAAATCAGAGGAAACTTGAGACATTCTCTTGGAGTCTTAACTTTCACGGATGCTCAGCTGTTTGCCTACACATGTACAAATTCACATCTACAGGCAAATGCAATCTGACAATTGCTTCCTGTACTTCAGAAATGAAGAAGAAATAAGAAAAAGCTTGGCTCATTATGTGGGCAGCCCTATGAAGTTTTAAATAAGTTTGGTGTAACTAAGGGGAAGGAAAAGGGGAGTTGTTTTTTGAGGAAATTGAAGTGAAGGGTTTAAAAAAAAACAAGACAGAACCCCCCCCCCCCCCCCCAAAAAAAAAACAAAACAAAACAAAAACCAACCCACTCCTCAAACCAACAGAAAAACCCCCAGACCTTCCAGAACAGGGTTCACATAACCTGAAAACTCTTTCTTATCGAGCTGGAAAGATAAAACAAGTCTTAGATCAATACACTTCAAATTACTTCATGCTTGAAGTAGAAACATTGCTGAACTGTTTAATCTTGCTGGTTTTTATAGTTTAAGTAGAATATGCAATTGCTGTGTGGATTTTTTTTTAACTGAAGTCCTTGTATGTGATACATTTTAATGAATTGCTGCTGATATTTTTCTTTTAAATGAAGCTGAAGGAAGGTTTTGGGATATTACAGTGTGGCTGCTCTCTTCCTGCTGCACTGAGGTGCTGTGGCAGAAGCTTTTGGCGCTGGTGGGACGCGTGCTGCTTGGTGCTGCATGGTGCAGCAGCGTTGGTCTCCATGTTCTCCACCTCCCAGTGTCCAGGCAGGCTGGTAATGAGCAACCAGAGGGGTGATCTGTGAAGTCTGGACAGCTCCGGTTTGGCTTAGGATATCCTTGAATTAGCAGAAGTTACATAGCTTTTGTGGCGTTTTCCGTCCATCCTGACCCCAGTAAAACATCAGGGGATGAATTACTGTTTGTAATCTGAGCGCTGAGTTGAAGGCTTGCCTTATAGGAAAAAAACCTTTTTTCAAAAGAGTCATCAGAAATATATAATCAAGAAGAAAACACAAACCTACTCAATTGTATGTGTTGTTAATAATTTCTCAAATCAGGTTACAGAATAATTCTAAGGATTTCTTATGTCTTTACTGCCAAACCTCCTCCCCCTGACATAGATATCCCAAAGTTTGGTTTTTAAAATAGGAAATGAACAAGTATGAAAGAGGCAGGAAAGTTATTAGATGATGCACATCAGTGTAGTTCAGTGAATTATGGTTTTTAGCCCAAACCATGGATGGGATTGATGGCTTTCACATGGCAATCTGTGAATAATCACTCAGAAACCTTCTGATCTCACAGTAATCTGAGAGTTCAAAAATAAGCTAATTTGGTTGCAATTTTTCATCTTTTACTTTGTTCATGGGACAGCTTCATTACCTATCTTATTTTTCTCAAAATGAGTTACTGCAAAGTAAGTGTCTTGCTTTCCTGTGTTGTCTGTGACTGTTTTCTTGTGGGACATGGGGTAGATTCAAGTGTGGGAGTCTTACAGGCAATTTAGAACTTAAACGTGATTGCAAATGTAGGATTAGTGAAGGAGAGTGGGAGGTGAAAAGTTTGTATCCTGTGGGAAACCACTGTAAGTAGATTTATGTGCAGATTTATGTCTGTACTTACCCAGACTGCCCCAACAGCATCATAGATGATTAATCCCATTATTAATATTGTCTAGCCTTAGTAAAGAAGGAATTTTTAGTGCCTTTTCTTAAAAAAAAAAAAAAAAACCAATGTCTTAAAAAAGTAAGGCTTCTTTTCCTTTGCTAGTCTGGTGTTGATGGAGTTGTAGTCTCAGAATCATAACTCGGCACACCAGCTATGATCCAAGTAAGGGTCCAACAGGAAGTGCTAAGCAATGTTTTCACTCGGTGACATAAGAACTGGGCTCATCTTCAGTGAGATGCAGAGGAGGTACCCCTCTGTCTTTGGGAGGGCATCCTTTACTGGCCTTCATTACAGCAGTGACATCTTGAGATAAGTGTTCACCTTGTGACCATGGTGGGGTATATTAGAGCAAGTATGTCCAAACCAATAAATACTTCTTCAGATGGATGGAAGAATTACTGGTAGATTATATAAAATAGATGATGTAACGGTTTGGGGTTGGTTTTCTCCTTGCATCATAAATATCTTGCTTTCAAGTGTTGGATAGGGAACAGTACAGCACAAGTTGAATGCAGGTTGTCATCTTACCAGTGAAGAGCACAGGCCATCACTGTGCTCTGAGCAGGTTTTTACTAGTTTGGGGAGCAGATCTCATGTGCTGTTCTCATTGTTTCTTTGCTGAACAATGTCTGGCTTCTATTTTTTTATCTTGCTGCATCCTAACCTCTAAAACTTACAATAATGTTCTTCCAGCCATGTAAATACTTAAATCTTGGGTTTCTCAGCCAGACACAGGTATTCTGCAAAGTTCTGTCAACTTATGGTTGGTCAAATTTCTTTGCAGAGGGTGGACCTGAGCATTAAAATTGGGTTTGGAGGAACCTTCTCATCAAAGACTGTACTGGATGTATATGAAAGTACGTTAGTATATTGTGACGTTGTAGTAGCCAAGATCTCTTATTTCTGTGTGTTTTAACTTGAGTTCATTGTAGCAGGCTGTATTTTCTGTGAGACAGCTTGTGAGAAGCAGATATTGCAGTGCCAGCCCAGCTCTCGCATTGCCTTCAAGCCCTGGAACGCATCGTTACTGCAGCAGCTGCTGCACTGCAGCTTTCCCTTCCTTTACAGAATCTCTTTTCAGTCTTCCCAGCGTGGTGCTTGAAGGATGAAATAACAGAGGTGGCTGCATTCCTTCTGAGATACTTGCAGCTGATAATGGTTTTGAAATGTGATATTTATGTTATCTTACTGCACTCCTATTTTTGTTTATCTGCTGCCTCGAGGAGGGAGGGAATATGATAAAAATCTTGTTTCATAGCAGTGCAGGGTGTGATGTTTTCAGTTTTATTGAGTAAAAGGTGTAAAATCATGGCAGGAAATAGCTGGTGGCTTTACTCATTGTGGGAATTCACGCTGCTGGAGAGACATTTTGTAATGTTCAGGAGTACAGGGAAGTTGACTCGGCAGCAATGAGCAATTCAAGCCATAGTAATAGGCATGCGAAGACAAGTAGTTCTTAAATAAGCAAATAGATTTGTGTTAAAATGGATTTCTTCTCTCTCCCTGTCCCAACCTGCAGACAGTGATACAAATGTAGATTTAGTAATCTGTCAGCCATTCTTATGTATTAAATGCGAACTGTGAGGAAATACACAGGACTCGTATGATCACTTCCTAAGTCGGTGCTGAAAAGCTGCTGGATTTGCAGTTAAACTGAAAATCCTGTGGACAACTTTCTCCTTATCCTCTTAGTGATATCTCATCTCTGGGCATACAGACTTAAGATTTGTTTTCATTTTTTTTTTTTCTCTTCAGTTTAATGACTTCACAGTCCTTTTTAAAGCATCTTCCTGTACATTATATCTTTGTAAATAAAGTTCTTCACTGAAGAAGCTGCTTTTCTTCCACTGTTACATATGCACAATATGTTACAAATGTAGGGCTTTGAGATAATGTAACTTGGGTGTTTGGATATGTGACTTCACATCTGTGTATGCTGTTTTTTTTGGGGTTTGTTTTTTTTGGTACAAAACCCAACCCACTTCTGTGTTTAAGGCTTTTAAAACGTACAGTATGTTGATTTGCACATTATATAGTATCTTCAAATTAAATATCTTGAAACGTGGGACCAGGATTATATTTAAGTGGTGAGTTTGTCTGCAGGAGTTTATTAATAGTCTCTGTATTGGAAAGCTTTAACACTGAGTAGCTCAAGCTGTGTAGTTAGAGGTTATTTTTGAGGTGGGAAGCTGCATGTGTGGGAATGTAAAGAATGTTGACACGTTTGTATTACAAGGTTTGTGGTGTTTTGAGCAATGTTCTGTGTGTTAAACTT